CACACTTAATACAATTTGAATTATGTGCAATAAAGACTTTACAATACAATACAATACTGTGTCTGTAATTGTTTGCTTGCTCGAAATTAAAATTTAAAACTATTCAATCCAAAATGTTCTTTAATTCAACAATCATCACTGACTCTTCACTAGTTAAGCGTACAGGATCCGTACAACAATGTTGTATATAGTGCAACATAACCCAATGATATAAAACAAAAACAAGGTCATTAGTTTGATCTTGTCCGATATAAGTGCATTAATTTTATGTTTATCAACATAATAATATGATAATCATACACTCGGTCTTTGTATACGTTCAACGAAATGTGAGCAAGACTTATTTGTATTCAAGGCATTGTTCACAATGTCCCCGTCATCTGGGATAATAGTCGCGACTATATTGTCAACACAGTCGTGTGTAAAATGTTCATAATTATATAAAAAAACATATTATATAAGATGCCAGTCTTGAATAAAACAAGTAGGTACAATTTTATAAAAATAGAGGAAGTCATCGATAGTTTTATGTTCTTAACATTGTAAGGTTATCAAGAGTTGTAAATATTTAAAATTATCTCATACAATGAGCGTTGAACTAAGTCTACAATTCTGTGGATTGCGATTATGCAACATCTGTTATTGCATCTCAATTAAAAAAAAATTACTCGTCGTTTTTAATACATTTAGCCTATCACAAAAAGACCAATGTGTAAGATTTAATTGTATTTTTTCCGCTCGCTCTCTCTCTCTCTCTCTCCCTCTCTCTCTCTCTCTCCCTCTCTCTCTCTCTCCCTCTCTCTCTCTCTCTCTCTCTCTCTCTCTCTCTCCCTCTCTCTCTCTCTCTCCCTCTCTCTTTCTTTCTTTTATATGGTTTTTTAAGTTTAAGTTTTTTTCTTTTTATAATTATTAACTTTTTATATTTAAAAAATATTTTTTGTCTTCCACCATAATATCACAAATATTTAGTAAAGATCTTTTGCAAATCCTTCAATACGAGTATATTACGTATTCACTACTCGCATGCGAAAAATAAAAGACATATTCTCGTAACTTGAAAATAGCAATAAAAAGGAATCAACAAGAACAATGCAACTTATATCCCACAGAATAAATCTTGTTGTACAAGAAACCGACATAATTAGCGAGATAATGTGCCATTGTGGGAACATACAAGTAGTAATAATATTATAATTAACACTGCTTGTCAGAGCTTTATTTTTATGGATGATAATGGAATAACCCCGCTTGGGTTCCAGTATAGGGTGGCGAACCACCAGTGAGGAATGATAGATGAGGATGAATGCAGATCAGTTAGCTCATCGTGACGAATTCTCCAAGTATTAACAATTATGATTTCTAAGAGGAACCTTGTGAAGATCAACATGATATGTACACGGTATACTGCTAGCAATGTAGCTATTAGATCCGCATTACTAACAATTCCTCACCCCCGCTAATCACAATTCCTTACAGATTTTGATATGTTATATACGATTTTAAATTTTAAAGAAATTATTTAAGTATTATTGTCGTTAGGGAACGTAAAGATGCAAGGAAAATGTTTAAAATACAATAATATTTGTAACTGGCCTTCGATGACTATACAAAAACATGATTACGTCATAATGAAATATAAATAGTTCAATAATTGCTGTCATATATCGAACTATATTATAAAAAGTCTTATTATTTTATCTATGGTCATGGACTGTTTCCTGGAGAAAGATAGGTAGGTACTATATCGGTCAATCGCTTGGCTATAGGTTTATATATTATATATTTACTTATATAGGTTTATAATATATACCCAATACTTACTACATGACAATAGCTTAACGAAACTCTACAACAGTTTCATACATAATATATTCCATTTAATAGATCGATTCAATTCGCTCACTAAAATCAGTCTATCAAAAATATTGATCGATGTGAACATTCTAAAATTTATGCGGTAAAATATCTACTGAACTACACTGTACTGAGTGTAAGAAATATTTATTTAATTAAACTTTATTGACCAATATAACAACAGGCGAGTTTAACACTAATAGCATTCTCTACCAGCCAACATTTAGGAAGTACAGAGATATTCGAAATATCGATGTGTTGGAAACACACACATTGGCCATGAATTGTGTGCAAACCTTGAACGGTTTCGCTCGGTCGACTCCAAACCAAATGATTGACGGCTGCATTCAAAATCACAATACGCCATTTTTGAAGCTCACATAAAAACGTATATTAAAATGAAATTCAAGTTAAGATGGTTTACAAACAACACTTTATTAGACTGCAAAATTATTTCTTAATCCTTGAATTAAATCAAATCGTAAGTAAAAACAAAAATACAAAGTCTTTTGTGCCAATTTATGAATTTTTAAAGAGGCATTGCATTGAACAACGTATGGTTTTTTTTCGAAAAGTAAAGCCACAGATACTACATTTATAATAATGTAATATTTTTCATTTTTTGTTTTTAATGTTTATTATTATCTTTTTTTTTTATTTAAATAAATAAATAATAAAGAATTACAATTCACGTTCTTAATATGTCTGCTAAGTTTATACTAATTTTGAATATTAATTTTTTTTTAAATAAGTATGTCAGTAATTCGGGTTATACTGTATGTTCTACTATTATGAATATGAATTATTCATTATTATTACTATACTAATACCAATAATAATTAATAATAAAAACCTTTGCATCACGTCAAAAATTTTAATAATAATACCATATATTCTCTCTTTGATCGCGCAATACTCGCAGTAAATTATCGCTCGTACGAGTATGAACGAAAACAAATGGTGATGGTAACATGATTATGATAAATTGACATTTAAACACCCAAATAATTGGAAGCAACATGCTCTCTCTAGCAATAATAACAATGTTATTGTTATACAAAACATTCATTCGATTTAGTTCTTACACACGTTAAAACTTATTTACATTATCGTAAAAAAGTATCCATATTCTTATTAAGGGACATATTATGTCCAATCAATCATTGGTTTGATTGATTGATTGATAGATATGTACCTTTAATGTCACCTTTAATACTTCAACAAGTTTGATTAACATCTAATTACATTATTTAAAAAAAAAGTAAGTAGAAAAAAGAAAATATCAGTTATAAATTACCGGTAACTTGATAAATTTGAAATCAATCACTTTTTTATATTCTCTAGTTATTCTATTTTTTTTAAATTGTTACGATCATCATATCAGCCATTATCAGTCCACTGCTGAACATAGTCCTCCTCATGTTGGGGAGTTCTAGTTGCCACGCATGGCAAGCGTGTTGGCAATCGCAGTTAGGCTTTTGGTGATGTTTTAAGAGGTACGCTGCAGCCCATCCCTCGACTATTTAGGTCTCTTAGTCGCCTCTTACGACACCCACGGAAAAGAAAGGAAATGAAGGAGGCCCATTCTATGCCGATACCACACAGTAAATATTTTTGCAATCAATTAAGTATCTATTACATTAATCTAAGTAATATTAAATCCCAAAAACAAATATACATAGACCAAATACAATATAAGACTACCAGTTTGCGGTAAGGTGAACCGAGTTCGCGTGATACCTAGATATAGCTAGAGGCCGCGTGCTGCAATCTGAGCCCTGGTAACCACTTGAGTATCTAGATCAAACTATTTGTGTATATCGGATATTTTTTATTCTTATATTTTACGCTCGTGATATATTTCAATTCCTATTTTTAAAAAGCTACTGTACCTAATCATAAACCAGTAAGTATAAATATATGTATAAATTTACGTAAATGCATTAAATCGCTCTACCATTCCACGAACAAAAAAACATATTATTATATATTGTCTATTATTTTCTATGTTTCACCTTTCAACGTCATCAAAAATACATTAACTTTTTTTACTAGATAGTAAAGTACTGTTTATATAACGAAATATAAACAGCAGATAATCGTCATGACCTTTATAGTTTATCAAATCTGATAAGTATTTAATGATAAACGTATGAAGTTGACATATCTACCCCTATAACTGTACTGTCTGATTAAAATTGTAACTTGAGACAGAGGTCTCAAACAATGTAACTATTTGTGGTAGATTACTTCTATTTTTACTTTTAAAAAAGGTGTCTTTATTGAATATTCAAATTAGGTAATGTGAATTTTCTTGGAATCCTTTAAATCTGGCAGTTTTGTAAATTATTGGCATGATCTGCCACAAACAAAATTTAAGAGCAAAATTTGAAAAAATGGCAACAATTTGCCACAAATGGTCACAAATGGTCTCAAATTCTGAGTTATCTACGCCCAGCGCATTTCAAAGATATTTGTAAAAAAAAAGATTAGTTAACGTCCCATAGAAAACATAACAACTTACTCATCAGAAGTAATAACGCATTAGGGACGCTATGAGTGTACTCGCACAATAAATTGCATCGTACATATTAAACATTCCTAAGCATACTTCATTCGCTTATACTTCATAAATAGACGGACAAAAATATAAAAAAGAAATCATGAGATTCAATTGTACAATTAAATTGGAATTAATATCTGCATGCAGGAGAAAAAGTCTAGAAAACTTTGTAGTGTAAGTACCTACGTAATGTTTCGTTTAGACTAGTGCAATATTACATCAATAATATTACTCTACCCAGCTAATATTAAGTTGTAAATGCTAATATCAACTTCATAAAGTATCAGCCCCATAGAGTACAGTTCCCTTAACATACAGAACTAGGTCAAATAAAGCACAAAGCAAACTTTGAATCAAGTCGAAAACTATGCCTACACCGCTATATTCATTTTGTTTAGATAGATATTTCTTTAGGTATACATTCTACCAAATTTATTTTATCCAATATTTCATACAATTTGTTTCATAGTTTTGCAGGTTTTATTTTGTACATATTGTTGTTGGATTATCGTTTTTGTTAAAATACTACATTAATAAATATTACCGAAATTATTTAAATTACTTAAAGACAAACAATGCTTACGCTTTCATTTTCTCGTTACAAAAATTACGAGAGTAGCCCCATTGTGTCCGGCGACGTCCTATTGTAAAGGCGCGCACTCACTACTTTCTCACACAAAAAAAATGTTTTAAGCTCTCTTTGTAAACGTTTATCACTTTTAAAAGCAGAAACTGGCATATAATTATTAAAAAAAAAGAGCTATAAATTTTATATTAGAAAGTTCGTATATTTCTCTTGTGTTTATATAAAAGAAAAATGCAATGTTATGTTCGAAAATCAAATTGGCGCAAACGCGCGATCAAGTCCGAAGCTCGACGCCAACTCGCGGATCGAGCGTCGGTCGTTCAGCATACAGCCATAAGTACAGGGGTCTATTATACCATGGTTGCCAGACACGCTAACTCTCCTATCCTATAACCAAAGCCATAGGATGTCTTTTCAATCTCGTTTCAGTGGAAAAGAGACCGTATCACCTCAAATTATTTTGTTATTACTTATTTATTAAGTAATGTGTAGTCTAGACTGCGAATATTATCTCCACTGATATAATTTGTAAACAACATCTTATAATAAACAAGTTCGTCTTAAATCGATCGATACTATAATATTCTTACAAACACGTAGGTAGACGATCGGTGTGGGTTGATGGGTTTTCTTTGAAAGTATAGATTCTAGTGTAGGAGTAAACAAATTCCTATGAAGAAGATTGATTATGGTATATTGCAAAATATAAAAGATATATTGTACAAGTTTAAACATATAAAATAGATATATCCGCACATTTGTTCATTATCAACATTTTGTATTGTATATGGTTGATACAATAAGAGTGCCGTTACACGTCCGCAATTAACGTACGAATATATTAGTGCCACTTTCAATATATTTCGAGCTAAAATACTCTACTGATTAGAATGTGACCTAGATGTCAGCCAGTGAAAGTTCTGTCATTGGTTTGTCGATATTAGAGGATAATGTATTCTTAATTATGTTTTACAATTCAATTAATTTGTCTATTCAATTTACATGAAAATAATAATACGCATGTATGTAGGTTAACAGCAACTGTTTTTGTTTATATTAAGACTGACTAGCACTCTATGTAAAATTTCATCTTTATGACAGTAGTATCAATTATATATTAGTCACGTCTTTTAAGTGAGATAGATGTAATGATTTCAACATTTTTCATCCTCAGTGAAATCATTGTAGAAAACTTCCTACAAAAGTTTGGATGATGATGAATGATATCGATGATACTTCATTAATGTCATAATTGACTATTTATTGTACATAGAACACGTCTCATCACACGACATCGATGCTATAAAAAAGAGTATTAACTCTCTGTTTTTTTTTTACAACACAGGGGGCAAACGAGCCTGCAGCTCACCTGATTGTAAATGACTACCGCCGCCCATGATCACTCACAACACCAGCGGCATTGCAGGTATGCTGCCGGCCTTTTAAAAAGGAATATGCTCTTTTCTTGAAGATTATGATGTCGTATCGGTTCAGAAATACTGTACCTTACATGCAATGAATTATCAGTAAATTGGATAGCTAATGAAGATGAAATATTTCAGTCATGGGTAAATGGAATGTAGCTGTACTGGTGACCTCCCACTAGTTGCAGCAATAACTTCAAATGTAATATTCCATAAATATATACCGTACTATTGAAATTGCTAGAACATGTTAGGATAAACATCTCTCATACTATAACTAAACTGTTAAACGCAACCTGTTAATATGGAAAACTCATTTTTTTTTTTTTGTTTTCTTTCAATCAGTGGTCTTCTTTATTGAAAATGTTTAATTAAACTAGCAGGACATTCCCTTCAAAGTATGCTAACAATTTCTATTATTAGTTTGCCAAATAGACTCAGGTATAAATTCTAGGTTATGCCTCCTTAGTATTAATTACTGATAGCATATTTTGATGACCAAACAATTTGAGGTGTTGGGTGTCAATTTATTTTTATAGTCAACAATTCCCATCAATGTCATTATTACTATCAACAACTTTAATTACAAGCATACATAATATTTGTTACCTACTTCAAAAACGGATTCTCAATTCTAATGTATTCTTCTTTTATGTCCATGTTATACATTGCCTTCGCTAATTCTGAATCTACTACGAGCAATCCTGAATCGATTTCGATGTTTTGTTTTTATCCAAAATAGTTTAGTCGCGTCTTGGATAATGTTGATATTTTATATGCCAAAATATCTACAATTATATACATATATTTAATGCAAAAGAATATTTTCTAATAGGTAATAGATAATTCATAACTTCACACCAAGTTTCATATAGGCTGGGCAAAGGAAACCAAATGCCAAAGTATGTTCTTAATTAAATATCTTTCTTCATTCGTTTTCATACTCCGTCTCATAAATATAAACTAAACACAAAGACTTGATAACTTCTTCTGATAGTAGACAGTATAAATAGCTAAATTTGAAATCAAGAATATTAAATACCTATCTACATTGAAGAAAAGTTATGCTATTCCGTAGTCGAGGGGTAACTATATCCTGTTAATACTATGACCAGTGATTCTCAAAGTAAATGCAAACTCCATGTATTATATGTATCTGTATGTTTGTCGATAGCATAGCAACTCCGTAATGGACGACTTTTTGCAATACATTGAGATAATCATATTTAATTACTGCACAGAATAAAATTAACACGGATAAGTTATAAAGGTTTTAAGTTTTTTATAAATATATATAAATATCTAATCTAATGCGTATATATAAACATATATATTTTAATTTAACAACGTAACTTACTTCAGTTTTATGAAAACTAGAATTATAAATTAAAATAATACCCTTTAACAAATCAAAATAAAAATGCATTAAATTATTGTACTACCAATGCTCAATGGGTAAACATGCCATTAGCTGCACTAAGAGCACGTGCCTTCAATAGGGGTGTCCTCAGATCAAAATACAATGGGGTGCTATGGAGATGTAGCCCTAACACAGAACTAGAAAATAAAATAATACAAAGAAGGCGTTATAAATGTTTAGATACATATATAAATATAATTTTATATACAGCATTTATTATATATACAGCATTATTAGGATTATTTAATTAATAAACCTTTTCGCGCATAATTTATGTACAAAGAAGTACTAAATAATCTGAAAACTTTATAGTAACTCGATTATGTTATTAGTGAAGACCTTGTCATAAATTTTATAACGCAAATACCAAAGTAAGTCTTGTATGGACGGCTCATTAATAAACATCGTATGTAACAGTTGAGTAAAAACTTAAGTACCTATTGCTATCATTTTATTAAATCGCATAAATAATAATATATTTCCAATAATGATTATTCTAAATAAACACAAACCCAACAATTACTACCTCCAAATAATAGCAGAATAAAGTTTCGTAACTCCTTGGACTTTCGACGGAACACACACACACACGCTCCCTATGCGAACCATGCACTTCCTTCGCAAACTATACCCACATACTACGGATCAATACAAGTATTAAGCGGGGGTAGACTTTCAAAGACATCACAGCTATATTAAAGTGAACTTTTAAAATGTCGCGCATATTTGTAATTCTCTATTACCATAAATTTATCATCCATCCATAGATAGTAAGCTTTAATTTAATGCAATGTTTGAGACTCAATTTGTAAAATAACTTAACAATTTATATCGAGTTCTTAATATCAGAATTAATTGTTTTTTATTTAGTTTTATTTTTTATGCAACTTAGAATGGCAAACAAGCTGACGGCATACCATGGAAAGTGATAACGGTCGCCTATAGACATGAGCAGTACCATGGATATAATAGAGTATACTGTTTCGCCTATGATACCCCCGTGCGTTGCCATTTCTGAGGACTCAGGTGTTTTCGTTTGAACCCTGTAAATTCTCTGCCATATCCCACCATTCAAACGGAAGCATAGCCATGCAAACACATCTGCTTCACGGTAGAAATACGAATGGGACAGAGATGCCCAAGCAAACGATTTTTGTAGAACGTCTCCATTCCCTCTCGTAGAATTTATTACCTACTAACTTTTGCTCCTAACTTCGTACGCGTGGATTTTATGTAGTAGTCGCAAAATGAATGAAATAGACTACTTCGAGATGGCATATCAAAATAAAATATACATTAAATATTACGTTCAATATTTAGAAATACAACTATGAAAATTGCATCAAAATTAATACAGTAGTTTTGCATAATTCTCTAACCAATGTACAGATAAATAGTGAGACAACATTTCTAAAAATTACTGTAAGATCTCTCGTAATTTTCATTTTATTAATTTTCCATCATTAAAATCTTGTTACAGGGTAATTTTTATAACTTCGCTATTAATACAAGCACGGGTATCTGTACTGTTATTACATTCACTATTAGCATACGTATAGGACAACGATAAGACAACCAAGCGCAACGGTGAGAGTTACCCTTGTCTAATATGGTCAAGGTTCCTTATCTGGATGAAACGACAAATTAGTATACGTTTTCTCTTCACCTTATTTATATAATTACACATAATGTGATAGTACCAATTCTGAGGCACGAGTTTCCTAAACCTATCTCTTAACGTAATATCTTAATTTGAAAGTTTCGCAAAATTACCACAAAACTGACTTATCATCATCATCATCATCATATCAGCCTTTAGCTGTTCACTTTACCTTTCTTTTGGGGGGTTTTGCTAATAATTTCTACGCTTAGCAGGCGGATTAACAACCGCAGTTCAGCTTTGGAGAGGGACACTGCTGCCCGTCCCTTGCCCTCCCTTAGTCGCCTCTTACGACGCCTACGAGAAATAAAGGGGTGGCCCATTCTATGCCGGGAGCACATGCCACTAAAATACCTATCATAAACTAACTAAAAATAATAAAAACATTTATTTAGGAATCTTAGCTTAATTCACAATTTTCTTTTTAGGATCAATAGTAATTACATTAATCGTAAATAGACTATCATAGCCACTAACGCCTGCTTATAACATGGCGGTACAAAATATAAATAACAAGAATTTTTACTTAAACCTATTAGAAATTTAGATCATATTGGTCCTTAAAGTAAAAAATTTCGCTCTGATATCATATTGATTTTAATATTAAAAATAAGTTTAGTAAAATGACACCTCAGAATTCGAGAACCGATGTCATAGAAGTATCCAGCTAACTTTATAGCAACTTTAAAAACTTGTTTTCAAGTATTATTGTAAAGTCGAGACCATGAATACAATATTTTTTCTTTTGCATAAAAAAGTCGTTGTATCGTGCGTAGTGTTTTTTCATTCAATAACCGTTTATAGAGTGAC